AGAACCCATTTCTTGCCTTTCTATCTGTAGAGGCTTTGTTGCACAATTCATGTGTTAACTGTGTAAACATGAATATAAATGGAAAAATGAGACCAGCTGAAACTATTCCAGGAATGGGGGAAGAGGAAGATAAAGGAGAGTGGTGGAGGGGGTGAATTCAAGTATGAGATATTTGTTATATTGTAAGAACTTTTCTAAATGCTACAATGTACCCCCAGCACAACAATAAAAAACTAAATTAAAAAAAGAGAAAAAAACCACCAAAATCCTAATCAAAGGGTTGGGGTGTGGGTCAAGGTTCAGCACATTTGTGAGGCCATGTGCTCAGTCCTCAGTACCATGAGTGAATGAATGAACGAACAAATAAATAAAAGCAAAAACATTAAACAAATAAAAACCATGAATTGTCTTGATTCTGTAGGTCAATTTGAGGAGTGCTGTCATCTTTTTCAGTATTAAGAGCAGTATCAATGCCCATTTTACTGGTATTGTTTTCTCACTCCTGAGGTATCAAATGCTCAGATGTCTATAGTGTTTACCTTGTTTTATAAGAATTAGCAGAAAACTGTTGGTCTTAGAAGTCCAAGGAAGAAGAAGCCAAAGCAGTTTATTGATTTATCATGCTTAGTGCGAAGTATTATTGTAAGCTGGGTGGTACATGTCTGTAATCCCAACACTCAGAAGGCTGGGCAGGCAGTTTGTGAGTTTGAGGCCAGCCTGGGCTACATATCAAAATCTGTCTAAAAAAAAAAGTAGGAATTATTTTTCATGGTTTTGATTGGCTCATTCTGATCAATTTCATTACTGGTTGCCAGCCAAGAGCATAGGTGCTATTGCCTCTTGAAAGTCTTGTCCGCCTGCCTAAGGAATGGAGACTTTTCTAGCTGTTTTCCAGTCTTGTTTGAAGTTTTTTGTTTTGTTTTTCTTAGAGTTTCCAGTGGCAAAGCCAAACTGGCAGCAAATGAAGTACACTGTAATGTGAAGCCTTATAAATATATGTTGGACCATGGCCGTCAGTATCAAAAGTGCTGGTACAGAAATGTGCCAAAGGAAGATTTTCAAATTAGAGTTGGCCTGTGCATATAAGTGCTAGCTTGTAAAGCTCAAAAAATAACTAAATCGTAGTCCATTAGTCCCTGCATTTTATTGTCCTTTTTGGAATAATCATGTACTTCAGAACATCCTTTAATCTGGGCTGGCTTGTGGTTGTGTAAGAATGCAGCTTCTTTTTTTCTTTATCCTTTATGTACTTAGATGAGGAAAATTTGCTGTGTTTTATAAATAAGTCAGCTGAAAAGCAAAATTTCTTTCCACCTTTTTATCTTCATGGAGGCCCAGTTTTTAGGCATTTGAGTGATGCATTTATACTCAGCCCACAACTAGTTTCACTGGAAAAAATCTTCAAAGTCACTTTACTTCTTGTAGGATGCACTAGTTGAGATGGTGGTAGAAAGGAACACTGCTTTTATCAGTGAAGAACTATCAAATATAACTAAGTGGCTTGTGAATTATTGCACAAAAATATTGAATGACTTTCAAAATGGATAGAACAAGGTTAATATTTCATGTATTTTAAATGTCATGTATTTTTCTGTTAGCAGATGTTGTTTTGGCTAATTAATGGTAGATAATTTTAAATTATATGATACATAGACTTTTAAGTTTCCAAATATTATCCAATGTGCTTTATTTTCTACTTATAGGTAAACTGACCAAAGGTAAAAGCCTTTAAAGAATTTTCATCCAAATTATGAAAATAGTCTTCCTAAGTGCTTTTAGGAGGGCCTCAAAAATTCATGAATAATGTAGTATAAACTGCTCATGTAATCTCTGAGCACAGACCTTTGTGAGTTAATATTACGTTAAATGCCAAAAAAGCATCTCTAATATTAAGGCCTTGGGAATTAGTTATCATTGAACACAATTTGTTTTAACATCATGAGAGAAAAATAGTGGACAGAAGATACTTAGTTTCCTGTCCATTAAAATGGACACCTTATTGAAAAGCTTTGAATAATTTCCAGAAGTCTGTACCCTATTGCTGTAGAAGGCAGTCACTGTGAGCTGCACCTGGCATGCACCCTGGTCTGGAATGGCTTAGTCTCTGTTCAGGGCACCACACGTGTTGGGACAGTCTTAAACTCTGTGGCCATAAAAATGGTGGCTAGGCCTGTAAAACAGACATGCAGAAGAAGGGGCATTTCATTGGGAGAATTGCTTTATTATCATGGGGGTGCAGTGATTCTTGCCATCTTCAGGAAGATGGATATAAGGGAGGACATGAGGAGGTAACCTGACAGAAGCAGTACTTGAAATGAAAAATAAAATAAAGACATATGGTATGTTCTTTCACCTATATGCAAAGATCTGCTTTTTTTGCAGACATGCCATGCCCAAACTCAGCATGGGTAGTAATGCATGTGTGGAAAGAACACTCACTTATGTGTATACTACCTCATTAGAAAGAGACTGCAGAGTCCTGCTGAAATGGAAACCAGGTGACACTTTCTCATATATGAGAAAGGTTTTCAGGTTTGGAGGGGGAAAGCTTGGTCTTTTGATATTTTGTAATATATTTGTATGTATTTATAGGAAAGCCAAGAAACTATGTATTTTAGAAGGATCTTTAAACCCAGATATGAGTAACTCAGAAAGTTCAGTTACTTTGTGACTACCTCTTGAAAGACAACATGATATTACTCTTAAGCATATGCCAGAAGGAATGTGCACCCGGATAGGATAGAGACACTGCACACCCATGTTTATTGCAGCATTATTCACAATAGCTTTTGGAAACAGCCCAGATGCCCCACAACTGATGAATGGATTAAGAAAAAACTGTGGTATATATACACAATGGAGTATTATTATGCAGCCATGAAATTCTGTTGTTTCCAGGTGAATGGATGGAAATGGAGAAAATCATGTTAAGCAAAGTAAGCCAAACTCAAAAGGTCAAAAGTTACATGTTTTCCTCTCACATGTGGAAATTAGACCTACAAATGTATACATAAATACATATATGATATTATGTATATATATATACACACACACACACACACACACACACACACACACACACACACACACACACATATATACAGAGAGAGAGAACAAGATTGTATTAGTGTGTCTGTTTGAGGTGACTACAGGAGGCAGAAGAGGAAGAAAGAATGTTAGAGGGCTGGAGGAGTGGCTCAAGCAGTAAGAATGCCTGCCTAGCAAGCATGAGAACCTGAGTTGAAACCCTAGTGCTACCAAAAAAAAGAGAAAAAGAGAAAGAATGTTAGAGAGTGAAAAAGTTGTTGAAACACTGCATCTGTGTATGAAAATAATATTAATTCACTGTAAGCTATTGAATAATAGGGAACAGGGTGATAATAGAGGGGTTAATCTGATTAAAGCAAGATACATACATGTCTGAAATACCAAGGCAAAACCCCATTAACTATCAATATTACAATCTAAAAAAAATGAGGGACAGGAAGGTAAATAGGTCCTGTCCAAGAGGTGGGTACCAATGGAAAAGGGAAATTGTTCAAAGAAGGGGGAGATGAGGAAAATGCTGGAGGAGGTGAATCTAATTAAGATATATTGTAAGCTCATATGTAAATGTCATGTATATCCTTTCCTGTACAACTATTATATGCTATAAAAAAGTTAGCATTATGGTTTGGTAATGTCTTTCTCCCCGTTATTTGATTTAGGCTAGAGGCACATCAAGTCCAAGGCCTTAAGTTCAAGCTCATAAAATAAAATAAAATTGATTTAGATGAGTTAAATTACCCCATCCCCCATCATTCTTACAGTTAGTAATTTGATAATATTCATATATGTGCAGACTTTCCCATGTAGGGAAGATGAGCAGTTTAAAGTTACTCATGGCATCTGGAAAACCAGGAGAGCAGCACAGTAGGTACTAACAGTGGGAGCTCCAGAAGCAGACTGCCAGCTGGGTCCTGGCTTGGGCTGTTGCAAGGAAGGGTGCCTCGGAAATGTCTCTAAACTCCAGTTTCCTGTTCTGTAAAAGGAAAGGGAAGAACATAATGATACTCTTATATATACTTTACTGTGATAATAAGCAAAAGTTAAACAAAAATATTTTGCTTAATGCCAGCACCTAGTCAGAACTCAAAATTAGCATTATGAACTTGTGTACATTTATAAACTAAAGGCTTTGATTTTTTCTCTACAAATGTGCAGAGATTTCTCTTATTTTGCCTGACATTTTGACTATACAACTTCTGTTTGCGTATGGGAAGGAGATGGTTGTCAGGTCTTTTAGGCAAATCCATTCGAGGGAAGTAGGATAATTTCAGACCACCATGATCATTGATCACCTGCAAGTCAGCTGCTGACAGACATTGCATCTTCCTACTGTACACTGTTTTTAAATTGAGATATATTCACATATAAAATTTTCCCTTTTAAAGTACACAATTTGGTGAAATTTAATATATTTGTAGGATGTGTAACCATTACCACTAATTCCAATTGTACTTATTACTCAAAAACAAACCCCATATCCATTAGCAATCAGTTCCCCACTCCTCTCATTCCCATCAGTAACATCTGCTTTCTGTCTCTATAGATTCATAGAAGTGGAATCATACAATGTGTGACCTTTTGAGACTGGGTTCTTTCACTTGCTTTAATATTAACAATGTTTATCCATGGTGTAACATACACCACTGCATTACATTGTAGGTCTGAGTAATACTCCATTGTATGGATATACCACATTTTGTTTCTTTGTTCAGCAGATGGAGACACATAGTTTTACATAGTTTTGTTTTTAGAGAAATCTTTGAAAGTAGTTATGCCTTCATCAGATTGTATATTGCATGTTTATGGCTTTCCCCCCAGACAAATTGTTTTATTGTGAGCTTTTTAAAGTACAGTTTTATAGAGTGTGGATCATAAAATTGAAATCTGAATTTTATTTGAGAGAAGACTAAATATTTTATGGTTGAGCTCTGAAGCTTTTCTGAACTTTGCAGAGAAAAAGAGGAGCAGCTCACTCGTGTGACTGAAGTTCAGAGATTGCAGGCCCAGCAGGCAGATGCAGCTCTAGAAGAGTTTAAGCGGCAGGTGGAACTGAATTCGGAGAAGGTCTATGCTGAAATGAAAGCGCAGGTAAGACAACCATAGCATCACTCCCTTAGTAGAAAGGTGCATTCTCATCTCCAGTGGAAGGGACGTTACCCCTTGATTCATCCTCGAAGCAATGTCAGAACAGTCATTCGAAGTTCCTTCTACAAGTATGTTAAGAGCAAGAGTGTGTCTTGTCGGGCTGAGGATGTAGCTCACTGGTAGAGCACTTACCTTGCATGTACAAGGCCCGTGGTTACAACTGCAGCACCACAAAAAAAAAAAGAAAAAAAGGAAAAAGAAATGTCTTGTTTAGGGGAATGAATTAGCCTTACAAGGAAAACTTTACCACCAACTGGTTTCTATAGAGTAGGGGCTCAAGCTGACCATGTCTCTGTTTCTGCATGTTTCATAAATAGTGTTTAATTGACCAGTTACAGCAAATTATTTTCAACTGAAGGTTCAGGAGGGCTGAACCTGTCTCTCTTCTTTTATAGGTTAAGCAGTATTTTTTTAAGTTTGTAAAAAATAAATGGAATTACTACTAATGCCTACTTATTTATCGTGAATTACCCACAATTGTTAATGCTCTGTTTACGTAAACTAAAACATTACAGGTGATCTTGTTACTCATTTTCACTCATGTTATTCTCTCCTCTGCCTCTTAGAAAACTACTATAACTGATTTTGTGTGAGTAGTTCAGTCTATTTTATACTGTTACATACATATAGGTATGTTGGTATATAATACGTATGTGTAAAATACAACAAATAAAATGTAGCATTTAAGTCATACTTTTATTTCATGTATGCTCCACATATATGATATAATATGCATATGTAAAGTACATATTATAAGACATATAATTGTTTTTTTTTTGTAATGGTTAAAAAATGACGATACAAGTTCATGTATTTCTTGTTTGCGTCATTTATATTTAATATTATGATCTCTGTTCTATGTTGGACTTGGTGCAATATTGTTAATAATATTTTTTATCAAAATTATGAAGATACATATTTTAATGACAGTTCTCTCCCCCTTTCTTCTTTTGGTTGTATTGGGGTTTGATACTGCAGGCTTTGTGCTTTCTAGGAGGCGTGCTACCTTATGAGCCACATCTCCAGACCTTTTTAACTCCATTTATTTTTGGAGAGGGTCTTCATTTTTTGCCCAGGTTGACTTGGACATGAATCATTCTTTTTTGGTACAATATCGCTGATGACAGGTGTGTACCATCATGCCCAGATTACTGATCGAAATGGGGACTCGTGAAACTTTTTGCCTGACTGGCTGTGAACCACAATCCTCCTGATCTCAGCCTCCTGAATATCTTAGGATTACAGTTTGAGGCACCAGTGCCCTCCTTCTCAGTTCTCTTATTGGAGTATATTCAGGTTATTTCACAGTGTTCCTGGAGTGGCAAGAAGTGTTGCAGTGTTTGTTTTGGGATTTTGCCATTAGCAGCTATAGCACACATTCATGTTTAGAAACTCCTTTAGTTGAGGGCGTGATGTGTGCCTCTGACTAGCCCTACAGGGTTTACAAGTTCACAACACTATTTATTTTTGTGGTTATTTT